TCCTTCCCTAAATTTAGAGGACCAAAAGTCTCCTTTAAACTTCATTCCCAGTTGAGTGGTCCTTGATGGATGTAAGAGGTGTCCTGGACTAGAGGAGAGGAGATTTGGATTCAGATGGAGTATGACCGTTTCTAAGCTGGAAACAGCCCTCAGCCTCCATGCACCCTCTCTTGGGTTCTCAGGGACAGAATCAGCAAAGGTGAGGAGGGAGGTAAGGAATCTCTGACAGGCTCACGGCTGTTTTCTTTTAGTTTAAAATTCTCTGATCATTAAGACTGTGAAAAAGTGGTTCTGTGGCCTTTCTTCCCCACTATGGTCTTACCACCCAGTGCTTCAAATACCCAAAATGCTAGAAGATTCATGCACAACTCAGTACTCAATTACTTCCTTTTCAGCTCTTACCTTCAACGTAGGTTGGGAATGAAGCCAAGCTTTTTCTTGACTGTAATCAAGACAAAGAGGTTTCAGAAAGGGCAAAGCGTGATGAAAAATGCATTAACACAACTTTATCCATGCAACATGAAAAATAAATAGATCACCAATAACAGATATTAATCAGGTGTCGACCGTTTTTGGTTATCACGGAGAGAAAGGTGTGAACAGACACACACACTTCTTATTAGAGGTTACCCAAAGCCCAGAACATCCATTCATATTTTAGGTAACCTGAAAATCTCACATTCCACAATTAGATGTCCATCCGCTTAAAAAGTTTCTAAGTGAAAAACTGTTAGATGAGTAAAAGCACCAACAATGTGACTATATGTTGAAATCAAGAATTCTCTTGGGGAATTTTATTTCCCTTCAGGTCTTTGCTTCAGTCATCTCTCACTGTGCTAAAAATGTTTGCCAGAGTTTTCCTCTCCTCCTTTTGTCCCTTGCTAGTTTAAAAATCCCATCATGTAAGTGATTAGTATATGTTACCTTAACATAAGAACATAAACAAAGGAGTGGATTGAAAACTGTGGAATTTCTTATGCTAAGTAACACCTCACAGCAAGGGTCTTCCGGCAGCATTGTTGGGCTGTGGGCATGATTGGCTCGAACCCTTCTAGAACCTGACTGGACGGCAGTTTCAATGCTAGGTTGCAGAGGAACAATACTCACCATTTGGTTCCTCCCGTAACTGAGTGGCACAGAGAACTCTGAGTGGCCTAAGAGTAGGAAGTTCATTCCCGCTCTCGCCACAGAATTTGTAGCTGATGTGTTGGGGGCAGGGTGACGTGAGCATCGCAGGAGAGTGGAGAGCCACTGTCAAAAACAAGACTCCTTCAAACGAGCAAAAAGGAGGGTCTGCAAGGCCCAGGGCTGTCCTCAGAAAGCCTAAAGATTTTCATGGCTAAGAGTCTAGTGGGTATGTCATTTCAATCTGTATGTTTTAGAAAAAGGGTATCTTATACAGCATAGCTGCTCAGTGGGTTGACCTGGGTTGATGGTAAACTCTGGGGTGCCTGGCGGCTGGGAGAGGTAGGGCCTAAAAGAGGGGGGGCATCAGGGGAACAGCTCTGTCTTGTAGCACCTTTGTAGCAAAGGGATGACTAATTAATAAATACCTGCACAACACTCTAAAAATAGTAGTGTTAACTGTTCTATTAAAAAAAAGGGGGGGGGAGGCAAACACACCCAGGCTTAAGACTCTGTTTCAATTCAAGACAATGACAAGAATTCAACACGAATCACACAACATAGCACACAAGGCAACCTGTCAGTAAACCTTCCGGAATGTGCCCGTGGGGATGAAATGGTTCGTCACACCGAAGACGGTGGGTTTCTTATTTCAGAAGGGATAACCTTTAAGGAAACTACAAATACAAGTCCACTGGGAATGAAAGGTCATTGGCTCCTTTTGTCCCTTGCTGGTTTAAAAATTCCATCATGTAAGTGATTAGTATATGTTACCTTAACATAAGAACATAAACAAAGGAGTGAATTGAAAACTGTGGAATTTCTTACACTAAGTAACACCTCACAGCAAGGGTCTTCCAGCAGCATCGTTGGGCTATGGGCATGATCGGCTAGAAACCTTCTAGAACCTGATCGGATGGCAGTTTAAATGCTAGATTGCAGAGGAACCTCTGCATTTATGGAAACCTGCACCCCAAGGAAAGCTAAGATAGGTGGACAGGAAGAAAGAGAACTACAATTTCAACTTCAATGGTGCTTGACATTGGTTTTACTTTTTCGTTGATCCAAGTGAGAAGAAAGGGTCAGTTGAGGGGCAATAGCCAGCTCTAATTCTGGCTAAAAACAACAAAAACTGTGTAACTTCGCGGTATGTAGATGGGAGCCAGTCTTCCAATCTTAAAATTAGTATTTCCCAACCACCTTCCTCGTCCTTGCCCTCAACAGCAAGGGGCCTGGGGTAGAGAGGGTTTACTTTGTTTAATCAAAATGGGTTGGCCTCCAGGTACACCCAAGAAGCCAACTCAGACTTCCTTGGCCTATTAGGATACTTTTCTGAATGCTCACTTCAAGGACAGTCCCCAGATTTTAGCAGAAGCTACGAAAGAATTACTTGAGTCTATAGTTCTAAAAGCTGCCATTTTTATTTAGAGCCACAACGGAGGGCATTTGGTACATTTACTTATTCTCTATTCATAAGCTCATGACTGGCTTTCTTTAGTCTCTGGGGTAGTAAGTTTTTTACGAAAAGAGTTTTGAGAAATGAAAGAATCTCTAATTATTGCACACAAAGAGGATTTTCATCATTATTTCTAAGGATATGCAGAAACATGTGCCAAGTCCTGTAGGAACCGAGAAATAACACATTTGCCTTGCTTATTATATCTGATGAATAATCAAATGCTGAATATTCAGATGTCTGATTAGCCCTTTGTTTCCTCACATGTGGACAGAGATGAACATGAGTTGATCCTTCACATTCAAGAATTAATAAAGCCACAGTCAAGAAGATGAAAGGCCAAAGTCCTTGGGATTTTGCAGGAGACACTAAACCACGTGCAGAGCCAGGAGACCCGACGACTGGAGTCATGACATACAAGTTACCTTGTCCACGCAGCGTGTGGCCTGCGGGCACTTTTTGCCCCAAGGGCAGAAGACCCTGGCATTCAGACCCTGGGCCCACAGGAGCTCTGGATTCACAGCCTGCCCTGACCCCTTGTGGGCCCTACACCTTGGGTAAGTCACTGAGCTTCTATGCTGCCTCAACCACAGTGTGAGGACAGTGAGTCCTACACCTCACAGAATTACTGTAAGGATTAAATGAGATACTATCTATGATTTGCTTGGCCCGATGCCTGACCACTGTAAATGCTTGAGAAATGGCCGCTTTTTATTAGTTATGATCACTGTGGCCTTGATTCTTTTCTTCTTGTTTCTCGTTCTCACCCATCCATGTACTATGAACAAAGGATAAGGCAGAGCTGTGGGATCTAGGGTCCGGAGAAACAGTGACCTAGTTACCCTCCGTTCCCATGAGGTAGGGTCTGAGGACAAGACCAGAGGAGGACAAAGCGTATTTCAAATTTAAATTTTAATGTTGGTGTGATTTCAGAGAAGGTCTCCTTATGTTCGTTTGGGTTAACATACACAGGTTATCAAAAAATCTACTTCTCCCTGTGTGAATAGTTAATGGCAAACGTGTGTGTACTCAGTGAGGCTTCAAGGGTAAATTTTAATGAAGACTCCCTTTAGAAGTGATCTGCCACTCGCTGTGAAATGGAAATCGCTTCCTTTTGTCGCATTTAACGTAATATGCTTAACAAAAGGGAGGAAAAGGAGACAGTCATTGACTATATGGTTTGCCTCTTTCGTGCACAGCCTCAGCACTGGCTGGGCTGGGGTGAGCTGAACCCACCTGGAGGCCACATAAGGCACAGGCCCACAGTTACCCGAGGCCACTTCATAAATAGCTGGGGTGGCACTTGGCTGTGGGTAAAAGGACAACAGTGTGGGAAAAGGCAGCGCCCCCCCTCCAGGAGGAACACCTGCCCTTTCACTACCTTGCTTGGAAGCAAGCATCATTTAGTAGGGCGACCACATGACTTAGTGTCGGAGAGGGACACTTCCGGGCTGTGCTCTCTAGGAGTCCTTAGCCACACACGACTATTTAATTAAATTGGAATAACATGCAAAATTCGGTTCCTCAGTCCCAACAGCCACTTTCAAGAGCTTCCCAGGTGCATGTGGCTAGGGACCACCATATAGGATAGCACAGAACTGAGTATTTCCACCAATGCAGAAAGTTCTCTTGGATAGGGAAGAGTGGAGGGGCGCCTGGGTGGCTCAGTCGGTTAAGCGTCTGACTTGAGCTCAGGTCATGATCTCATGGCCTGAGTTCGAGCCCCACGTCGGGCTCTGTGCTGACAGCTCAGAGCCTGGAGCCTGCTTTGGATTCCGTGTCTCCCTCTCTCTCTGCCCCTCCTCCGTTCACACCCTCTCTCCCTCTCAAAAATAAACATTAAAATTTTTTTTTCAAAAAAGAAAGGGAGAGGGGTGCTCACTAGCTGCACTGCTTGCACAACAGGTGTGGACTGGAAACCACCCCAGGTAAACCAGGACCAGTGGTCATCCTGATGTCATGAGAGATATTTCACTTGGGCCTGAAATAAACGGGTACTTAAGAAACCAGTCCATTTCCCAAACCGAGGTCTGTAATATCCCGAGGAAGGATGCTGCTACACAGAGCTCTTCCCCTCCAGTTTCTGGCACTGTCCTGGAGAACTTTCTGGAATGATGGAAATTCTGTGTCATCTCCCCTGTCCGATGCAATAGCCACAAGTGACATGCGGCTACTGAGCACTTGACCTGTGGCTAGCGTGCCTGAGAAGGTGCACTTCCGTGTCGTTTACTAATCAAAAAAATAGACACCTGTGGCCGGTAGCTACCAGGCTGGACGGTGCGGCTTCAATCACCGAACTCCAGGCTGGAGAGGAGAAATCCGCATTTCTCTCCCGAGAGGGGAATTTGGGGGGTTTGGGCAGGAAGCTGAAGACAGCTCACACCAGAAGAGTAAGACAACACACGGGCCGGTGGCTTCTGGAACAAAACGGCACCCTACCTCTTTATTCGAGGAGGCCTCCGCGGGGTCGCTGGGGTGAAGGGGTATGCTCGAAGACTCTGCCCCCAGGGGAGGGGAACTGCCAGGAGACGGGGACTGGAACACAGCAAGCGAAGGACACAGTGAGAATCGGGGGGTAAGGGGACACCCGGCCGGGGCGGGGGCCAGAGGACAAGGCCCCACAGAACCGAACAAACGCTTCCTCAGTGACAAAACTTTCTTGCAGAGAAGCTACCAACGGTATACAAAAGGCCTGCGTTTTTCAAGCTCTCTTTTATTTCCGTTCATGTTTTTCATTTTAGAGGTGGGGAGGGGCAGAGGGAGAGACCGAATCTTACACAGACGCCACGCTCAGTGCAGAGCCTGACGCAGGGCCGGATCCCAAGACCCTGGGATCATGACCTGAGCCAAAATCAAAAGTCAGACATTCGACCGCCTGAGGCACCCAGGCGCCCCTTGAGCTCTTTTAGATTCCCACCATATTTTCTTGTTTCGTTTATGTTTATTTATTTTTGAGAGAGACAGACAGAGAGACAGAGCATGAGCAGGGAGGGGCAGAGAGAGAGGAGACACAGAATCCGACGCAGGCTCCAGGTTCTGAGCGGCCAGCACAGAGCCCGACACAGGGCTCGAACTCACAGACTGCGAGATCATAACCTGAGCCGAAGTCCGAAGCTTAACTGACTGAGCCACCCAGGCACCCCTCCCACCATGTTTTTAAAGGAAACTTTTATAGCTTTGCCATTTTGTTCCTCCTTGGGACAAGTGTTTAAACAAAGCAAAAGGTGAATAGAGTCCTAAACGAATAAAGCTAACGGGGATACACACGCGTCTGTGGTTTTTAAAATTCTGAAAAAGACTTTGGATACTAATGGTCTTACAAAACCACCTGCCCAAGATTACCTGAATGGAAAAGGAAAAATGAAAGCAGGTATTTTTTAATTAAACACTTTAAAATGTTTATTTTTGAGATGGGGGAGGAGCAAAGACACAGAATTCGAAGCAGGCTCCAGGCTCTGAGCTGTCAGCACAGAGCCTAATACGGGGCTGGAGCCCATGAACCGTGAGATCATGACCTGAGCCAAAGTCAGATGTTAACGAATCAGCCACCCAGGCACCCTGAACGTGGCAGCCGGGACTGATGACCAGAAACCACACCATCTGTATTTCTCTCGTCCAGATTTCAAGTATTTTTTTTCGGATTTAATCCACAGGCCATCGAAAATTCAGAGAAATTTCAGCATCCAAACAATATGACCTTGGCTGCTCTTGAAACAGTTCAAAAATCTTTTATTAAATGATAGGTTTGAAAATAAGGGGTAGAAGCGTAGCTTCGGGGCACATGGCCCCCATCAGGTGTGTTACTGCCTCTGGTGGTGGCACAGGCAGGTCCTGCTGGACGGGGAACAGGAAGCCCCAGGTGAGGGCCCAACACAGCATGTGCTCCCTAAACACCTTCCCAATGAACAGCCAAAGAATCAAGCCAGCAGGCTGGAGGGCGGGACTAGTACGGGCGCTGGAAACCCTCCCCAGCCAGTACCCAGACGTCTCTGCATGTGCTCCTGAAATCCTGACAGATGAAGGGCATCTTCAGGCAAGCCACAGGGATGCTGAAGAATGCTGCAGCCAAGGTCCTCTGACGGCAAGGATATACCCCGCTTCGCCATTTGTTGAAGTCTGATAGGAAGCCTAAGACGGAACCCACGTGACCATCTGTTCTCTGAAGAAGCGTGGCCGTGTGAGGGGAGGTACGTCCCAGACGACGGAAGCCGGGTCAGCCAGTGACAGCTGAATCTGTTTCTGATCTCTTGCGACTGGCCCCCTTGGGAAAACCGAGATAGAAACAGCGGCACAGGACCTCTGCGTGGAAAAGGAGAATGTTCCACAAGATTGGTTGTGCTGAGTAGGGGAGGGGGTACATTAATACACAGTGGGACTTCGGGGCACCTGAGTGGCTCAGTCCGTTAAGCGTCCGACTTCGGCTCAGGTCATGATCTCGCGGTCCGTGGGTTCGAGCCCCGCGTCGGGCTCTGTGCTGACAGCCCAGAGCCTAGGGCCTGCTTTGGATTCTGTGTTTTCCTCTCTCTGCACCTCCCCTGCTCACTCACTCACTCTCTCTCTCAAGAATAAACATTAAAATAAATAAGTAAATAAATAAATGGGACTTCAATGAGCATTATGTGAAATCATAAAAAAAAAATACATCTTTTCCAGAAAGTCTGGATTACGGGAAAACACAGGGGGCACCAAACGACCTGGACGATGATGTGGTGAAATGCAGTTTTATTCACGCTGAGGCTATTCCTGTGAGGCCTGGATTTGATTTCCATGCCCACAGACCTGATTCTGGGCAGGGAAATGAGGACCAATGAGCTTCTTAATCATTCACAGGCAGAAATCAACCACTGCCCAGTGAAGCCCAGAGTGTGGGTGCAGGGTAAGAGCAGACGTAAAGGACCCCCTAACTCCACAGCCCCTGGACGCAAGAACCGAGTCCTACATGCCTTAAAAAAATCCCACGCAGAAGTTTTTATTTGGCGCCCAAGAGAGCTGAGGGGTACTGGCTGAGGTTAGCTTAGTGTGGACCACTCAAAATTAATGTAGGAAAGTCCTCACGAGATTATAGAGCCTTTAAAGTTTCCCAGTTTTTCAGATTTGAAGAGCTTCCTTAGATATTTACATCTAGGTTTTCCCCCAAGTAATTTCCTCTGTTGCAAAGATTTTAAGGGTCTGGTCCCTGGGAAGCTAGTACAGCTGGTTTTTCTTTAATTGCTTGGTTTGAGGGCTGTGTTACACCTTCACTTAAAAAAGAAAGAAAAGAAAAAAAAAAAAAGAAAAAAAATCTTCAAAAGAGCCCCTCAGTTCCTATTTCCTTATCTAACCATCTTCTCTCGAAAATCTTCTAAAAATGGATTCGTTGCAACACTGGGAACATGGGATCATCTCAGGATGATGTGAGAATGCAGGTTATCCAGACAGCAGGCTGGAATGTGGAAGAGGCAGGGCAGACCCCACAGTGAGGTGAAGTGACCAGCGCCCGGAGCCTGCTGGGGCACACGGGAGAGGAGGGACCCACACTGCCCTCATCAGGGACCACTTTCCCCCAGGGCACCACACTCTAGCCTTCTGCATGCAACTAAGCTCACTCACTTTTCCTTCCATTTGCATGTGCAGTTAATGGGAAAACTAGAGAGTTCTCCCACGTTCTTTCCCACCGTCGATGCTGAACTTGAAAGTACCTATTTTGCTGAAGTTTTCTCAGACTCCACTCACGATATACGGTTCTCCCCTGATGGCTTGGGTCAAGTTCTGTAATTATGTGTGTGTCTGCCCTCTCCCAAGAACTCTGGCAGGGATCTTATCTTAATCATCTTTGGAATCCAAGGGCCTGGCCGTGGGGCTCATCAACAGTAGGCATTCAGTGAACATTTGCTGAATAAATGCCTTCAGTGTCGTTTCCAGCTTTACCATATTCTCCAACCTGCAGAAAGCAGGTCAACCACTGATCTCCTTCATTATTGTTTCCTGGCCGATGGGATGCCCCCTCCTTTTTTTAATGTTTATTTTTGAGAGAGAGAGAGAGACAAAGTGCTAGGGGGGAGGGGCAGAGACGAGACACACACAGAATCCGAAGCAGGCTCCAGACTCTATGCTGTCAGCACAGAGCCCAACGCGGGGCTCGAACCCATGAACCACAAGATCATGACCTGAGTTAAAGTTGGACACCCAACCAACTGAGCCACCTAGGTGCCCTGAAGCCCTTTTCTGATAGCACTCCTATGATCTTACGTGTGGAATGTTAAACTTGCATTTTGAATTAGAACTCTGACCTGAGCTCCAGCAAAGCTCTTCTGAAGCTACAAGCTGTCTGCAAACGAAAGGCCCCCCACCTGGTGGGAACCTACCACTCCCCACACCACTGCTGACAAAGTCAGGGTGGACAAACGCCTTCAGGGCTGGCACAGCCCCCATGGAGCCTAAACAAAGGTGTTTAGTATTGACTTATCTCAAATGTCTGCTTTACAAGCCCTTTGCCCCCTCACTGCCAGCTTCCACCTTGCTGTACTCTCAAAAGTAGAGAGGGGTGCGTGGGCGCCTTGGTTGAGCGTCCGACTTCAGCTCAGGTCATGATCTCACGGTTTGTGAGTTCGAGCCCTGCGTCGGGCTCTGTGCTGACAGCTCAGAGCCTGGAGCCTGCTTCGGATTCTGTGTCTCCCTCTCTCTCTGCCCCTCCCCTGCTCACGCTCTGACTCTGTCTTTCAATAATAAATTAATGTTAAAAAATTTTTTTTAAAAAAGTAGTGAGAAAACCAGAAACTAGATAACACTTTTTACTTTCAAAGAATGTACTGGAGGCAAAGTGTAGCCAATAAAATATGATACAAAAAGTGAGTTATTATTATGTATTTCTCTGTATGAAGTCTCATGCCTTTTGGGTCACTGACTCGACATTCCATTTTAAGTCAACAAGACCAAGGATGGGAAGCAAAGGTGGGTGTGGAAATTCACAAAGTGCCACACAGGGCGTCTGTAAGGAGGCATCTGTGATGTCCAAAGACGACTCAGTAACTCCGTTCTGGTTCACTGCAGGAGGTCTTAAGCTGCTTGTCTTCTACAGGTGGTGTTCTAGCAGATTCTCCACAACCACGGTCCGAATTTTACTACCACAGCTCTGGGGCTCCACAGAGCAGAGCTCTCAGCTCGAAGAGTCTGGTTCCTCAGGGCCAGGGCAAGAGATGGATAGTCCCTTTGTTAGGCTGGAGACGGCCTCAGGATACAGAAGCATCCAGAGGGAAAGCCAATCACTCATTTCATTTCCAATCGAACATCTCCCGGGGGCACACGCTCTACCTGCTGGCGGGAGAGGTGATATGTGCAGGGAAGCAAAGTGGGCAGAGAACTATTATTCATTTATTCCTTCAACAGGCATTTCTGTGCCTACCTCTGTTCTTGATACTGGCTTGCTAAACAAAGAGGAAAGAGACGCTGTGGTCCTGTCCTATATCCCTTTCCAGATGAGGGGGGGAGGCAGACGTGCGGAGGCAGGGCTGTGGCAGGGATATTCACCTGTACATGGGACGCGGGGCCGGGAGGGC